CACTCTCCCCTGGTGTGAAATAAGCAGAATTACTTCAGTGCCATGTGTTTTGGATGTCTTTGTTGTAGGCATTAGCCAGAATCTTTTGCATGTTAGCTCCCCTCCAGCACAGTGAAGGTTGTTTTTGCAGTCAGGTACATCTGTAGGATCCTCTCCCAGCCTGCCTTACAAAGATGCCATCATCTGTATCCCACTCCAGCTCAATTCCTGCTTAAAGGGCACTTGGAGGTGGGAGCAGCATCTTTCTAAAGCAGCCTCAAAAACCCAGGAATATGGTGGAGTGCTGGACTTGGCAGTGCTGGGTTGGACTTGATGATCTTAAAGGTCTTTTCCCACCCAAATGATTCTCTGATTTTATAGCAAACCAAAGCAGAGTTGGTATGAGAGCCCTCCTCCCACAGTGATTTCCAGAAATGGAGTTTATACTTCAATAACAGAGCTCATTTGCTGATCTCACATGGGATTCATGGCACAACACCGAGGGGCTTCCAGGGCAGCCTTGGGAGATCCAGCCCAGCTGCCACCCTGCACAGGACACAGCAACACTGCAGAAACTCCATCCAAGTGGTGCTGTACATTAACACATCATCATGTTTGTGTCGTGCCTGCAGTCAACATCTGATTGCAATTGTTGACCTGTTTGAACAATAAAACCTAGCTCTAAGCCTGGGGAAGCCAAAGGGCTTTGCATTAAGCAGGGCTATGGCAGTGGGTGGGAGGGGTGTAAGGAATGCTGTCATACATTTGGCTTGAAATGTTCCTGGTATGTGCCAATATCTCTCCTATAAATCCAGTAGGATTATATACTTACTTTGCCTATTTTACATGTAGCCATTTGCTGTTTTTCTCTAATTCCTAATCCCCATTTATACCCAAGCCATTGCCCTTCCCTGTGAGCTCAGTTGTTTTTTTTTTATATTTAAGACACCTCAGCCAAGGTCAGATGAGGTGGGGTCAGATGGCTCTGGTGCTGTGGCACAGAAGGATCAGGAGGAAAGTAAAATCCCTCCTCCACTCCGTGGAGGTCACTTCTGCCTCCACAAACTCCACCTGCTCCCCTCACTCTCCTGGTGTCCACGGCAGCCTCAGCTGTCTCTTTCAGCAAGCTGGCAGCACTCTGCTTGCTCTGGAAGGAGTTTTTCTTCCAAAATGTGGAACACTTTATCCCCACATCAGCCCCATGTTCACAGAGTACCACTGAGGACTTTGCTCTCTGGTAGAGTGAAAACTGAATCTTCCTTTGTGCTTTCCTCAACACCACATGGAGCATTTCCATGGGGGAAAGGGATGTTTTCTTCTTGCTGGAGAGTGTCAGTGCAAACACCAGTGTGCTGTGGAGTTCCTGGCAGAGAAGATCCGTGCCAGATATGCTCGCATTCCATGCACTCACACTTCTGATGGTGTCAGGAAGAATGGGATGGGATGCTGCTCTTCGTGTGATCTGGGATGGAGGAAAACATTCATTTTTCACCTGGAGAGCACTGGCAGCTCACCAGTCTGCAGAGCTGCCTCCACCACCCCACAAACCACCAGCTGCTGAAGGACCACTGACAGCTTTCTGGAAGGTCACTGCACTCTACAGCATCACTGGAGCCTTTCTGGAAACAGGGAGTGAAAGTACTTGGGCTGCTGAGGGACTGGTGAAAAACGGGAATCCTCTTACAGAGTCTTTCATGTTGCACCAAGATCAGTGCAGCCTGTCCTGCACGACCAGACAAGCCATTCTTGGGTTGGACTTTATTCATTTTCTTAGAAAAGACATAATTTGAATGTTTTTCAGTTTCCATTTCTTTCCCCAGCTCTGCAGTTTTTCCCTTGATTTTGTCTCTGATGACAAAAGGACCCAACCAGACTGCAGCTTTATTTAGTACCAAACTTCCCTCCTGAGATGATCACACAAGAAGTCTTTTATCACTCTGGGGGCTCTGAGCCAGAGCTGCTTGTGGTGGAAGTGGCTGGGACTGTAACCCCAGGAATGAGTCAAGCTTGGGCTGTCAGCAAGGGGACCTGCAGCAGTTCCCTGCCAGGACACATCAGAACTCCTGAGCCTGCTTTCTCCAGTGCTGCTCCCATTCAGGAAAAGGTATGAAATCCACATCTAGACTGAATTTAAAGATTAGGTGTTGTTTAAAACAGAAATCCTGCCCAGAATCATGGTCTGACTTCCTAGAAAATTACTATAAACGAAACCTCCCCTGCTCCCCACTGCTCAGTAACAACATTTGGTTTTCTCACAGAGCTGGTGCCACATGTGCTGGCTTCAGCACTGTCAGCTCTGTTCCTGCCCAGGTTTGTGTTGAGGAAGAAGGGCCCTGCTGGAATTCTGCTCTCCTCAGGCATCATCACCCTGCAGCTGCTCTCATTCGTGGCTTTTTCCCCCCATCACATCACTGGCCAGCGATGCATGAGGAGGGGACAGTGACACTGAGCCCAAGAAGTGCTGTCAGCCACATTTCCCAGAGGGTAAGGAAGATTCCATCTCTTTTCTTTCTTCTTTTTTTTTTCTTTTCTAAACATGTTTTGCTGAAGAAATAATTTTAAATGGGGAAAAGGAAAACCACATTATTGTGTAAGCAAGAGGGAAAAGAGCTTTCTGTGGAAATTCATGTGCCATTCTCCTGAAACAACAACTGTCTGCCTGTGGTGTGGCTGCCTGAGTGTTCAGCACGGGTGGTTTTGCAGCAGCTGTGTGCACAGAACCTCCCATCACAAGCTCTGTTCTCTGGCTGTCCCCATGGCTCAGTTTATTTGTGTGCAAGGCTGCTGAGAGGTTATCGAGGCTTCCCATCAGCTGTACAAACTCACAGCAGCACCAGCTCTGTGTGTGTCCCTTTCTGAGAGTTACACTTTGGGGTTAATCAGCTCTTGGGCAGCTCCTAGCAAAGATCTGGTCCTTCTGCTGTGGCTCTCCAGAGGAGTTGCTGCCTGTGCTTTGCCACAAGCTATGGGGGATCTGAAGCCATATGTGTAAGAAAGAAAAAAACTTATTTATTTGTTTTCAGCCTCCCCATAGAATGGTTCTAAAAGCAGAAGTATCCTTCACTATGGGAAAAAAAAAAAAAAAAAAAGATAAAATTGACAAAAGCACTCTCATATTTGTCAAAATTTTTGTAATGTTTTTCAGGGTATCACTAAATCTTGCCAGGCACCTCCCTTTCCTCCCCTGCCTTCCCCAAATGCTTCCATTTTTGGCTAAAAAATCCCAAGTTTTGGATTTTTGGACCAACAATGTCAGCCAAAACCCAGGCTCTCTTCTCTTAATTTTTCCACTTAATTTTTCAACTATCTTCTGGCAAAGCAGAAGCACTGTTTTGATGGAAAGTTTTTCAACCAGCTCTGCTCATTAATTTCTGCCAGCAATCACAGAACAGTGCATCTTGCAGGAGAGGAGAGTGTCTGAAGGGCCCAGTGTGAGGCAGGAATGAGTAACTCTCCTCTCCCAGCTCTGTGCCCCAGCCAGCTCCCTGCTCCTAATGAGAGACATCTTTCTAGAGAGGTTTCCAGCCTGAATCTCTCTTGGCAAGTCAGCTCAGAAATTCAGGTACTTTGCCAGGTTAGAGGAAGATGTGGGTGGGCATGGAAGGATCTCCTGTGAGCAAAAGACCCTGGGACTCTGAGGAGCCACATTGTCCATCTCTCATCTGCTTGGACTCATTTTGGACTCCTCCAGGCAAGCAGCAGTTGGCAGGGAAGGGTGGGGAGGTGGGGCTGCTCCAGCTCCCTTCAAGGAGAGCTCCAGTGTGCTTTAATGGTGATGTTCAGGTACTCCAGAGCTGAGCCAGGCACAGCCATGAGCTGTCTCCGTGGAACCCTGAGATCTGCAGGGACAAGATCCTAAAGTGGCTGCTGGGCTGAAATGACACCAGTACATCCCTGCTGTGTGTCTGTCACCCATCTGTCCATGAGGAAGGGATTTTTTTATGCTGAGCTCAAGGGAAGCCCAGCTCCTCTCATTTTTGGGTTCCTGTGATGACAGGGACCTGGGAGGCAAAGGAGGATGTTCTTACAGAGTAGCCAAATTTCTCAGTGTTTGGCCTCAGCAGCCAAAGGAGCATCTGCCCACTTGCTGCATGGACAGTCTCCTCAGGGAAAAGCCATCAGTCCACAGTCCCTGACATTTGCAAAGTGCTCCGAGATCTTTCGGTGAAAGACCTTTTAGATGTGCAAAAGTTTATAGCCCTTTTCTGACCATGGTTGGTTTTAGAGGGTTAACTTAGGAACAGGAAATACAGTGACTAAGGGAAAGCCATTAATATTAAATTCTACCCTTTGCCAGATTGTCCTGTGTTATCTTTGCTCTTTCATGAAATATTTTCCAGTTTTCCTCGCAGGGCATTCCTTACAGGGGCAGCAGCTAAGGAGCTGTAACTTGGCACATCTCCACCTGCTTTTCTGTAGCAGTGCACATTTGTGCTCTGGGATTTGAAGAATTTCCTTTGCCTCTAGAATTGATATGCAAACAGTCAGCTGTACAGACATCAATCTGTCCAGTAGACATGCCGTGTGACCTAAGGAATAATACAGGTGGTCAGCACCATGCTGGTGACTCCTGAATTTCTGGAGCAAGCAGAATCATTTTCCTACATCAAGAAGATGGGAGGTCCTGTATACACCTTCGAGTCATCTGCTGTGCTTGACTGATCACAAAACACCCACCAAGATTGCCCTTACAAAGTCCTTCATTTCTGCCAAGGAAAGCAAAAATTTTCAGGAAATGAGAGATGTGACCTTGACACCTCACAAACAGCTCGGGGGTCTCAAGATGCTCATCTCAGCAGAGGGATGCTCGTGCCAGAGCAAATGTAGAGCCCTGTGTGGTCAGTGCACAGCTCTTCCAGCATCCCTTCCTTTATCAGCTCTGTTGTGGTAAAAACAAAGTGGGCAAACTTAGTCTTCTCCTGCCTGTTTGCTGTGCTGCTGTAAGTTCCACTGTGTTCAGGTGCCGCTGTGTAAGCAGGGGTGGAATGAGGGACTGGGAGAGATGAATGTTGATAGTTGAATAACCCAGCTCAAACCACTTCCCCCACTCGTGATTTCATCACAGCCAAAAGCTGTGCTTGAGCTGCTGGGCACCCTGTGGGCACCTAAAGCCTAAGGGGAATTTTTAAGAGAGAAAGAAATGGCTCCAGAGAGCCCCATAACTCTAAGCAAGTTGTTCTTTAGGACAGTCATAATTTCATTTCTTATTGATACTTCTGCAAGGAGAGCCATTCTCCTGCTGCTGGAGGCTCTAGCTGCAGACACAGCCTTGGAAGGGAAGCTTGCTCTCATGGCTACGGCAGAGGAATGGGAAGCACGAGATCTGGCATGAAGTGCTGCTCCCATTGAAGCCAGTGGGATGTTTGCCATTGGCTTCAGGGGAAGCCAAGATTTCAGTCTGCAGCCAGATTTGCTGGTGTGCTGTTCTATCCTGAGAGCAGGAGCAGAGAGGGTTCTTGGTTTCCTGATAAAGCTCTCGCTGCCTCGGCTCCTCTGCTGCCTTCTCACCTCACACTGGCCCCTCCTTGCTTTCAAATCTCAGGCCTCTTTCAAATCCTTGATGAAGAGACTGGTGCATGGTTTGTGCCTGTGGTATTGTCCCATGATTGCAGCTCTTGGACTGGGGGTTGTGGACAGTGCTAGAGAGGGGCATGAGGCAATTAAAGCAACAGGACAGGCTGGGGGAAGAGGCTTAGATGAAGTAACATATGGGATTTGCTGCAGGTCAGTAACTGTGCCTTCTTCTCCAGGCAGCAACTTGGATCAGCTCTAAGAATTAACTCTAAGTGGTTCAGGAGAGCCTGGAGAGATTGTAAAGGTGGTCCAAGGTGGGTTTCCCTGCTTCACACCTTCACACCAGCATGGACTGAGGGGAACCTTGATAGTTTAATCAGCCTTTTTCCTCGTCTCCCTCTTTTAGGGTTAGGTGGGAGCCAAATTGTTAGTGATGAGCTGTGGTGCAGGTACTCATGAGCCTGTTAGTGAACCTTTCCCAAATTACACTGATCCCCCTGCCAACCCAAGGGCTGTAGTGACATAGGTGTTAATCAGTGCATTATCTAGAGCTCCACAGTGTCTGCACACCCAGCACCCATGTTTGGGCAGGGTTGGTGCCCTCCTCTCAAAAGCAGCTGAAGGAAGGGATCACAAAGTTGATCAAGATTCTACCAAGCAGCCCCAGCTTGGCCTGTATAGGTCCAAGCTGTTTTTATTTGAGTGGACACTTGGTGGAGCCTCTATGCCAAGGAAAAGAAATGTTGCAAATAATTCTTGCTCTTCATTTTTATTTCTCCCCGATCAGGACGGCTCTCTCTGTTCATCGTGTGGGATTGGTCTCTGCTGCCCCTTTCAGGGAACATCTGTAAGCACATCACATCTGTAAAAAAAAGGCAGGAAGGTTTATCTGCTGGACAAAGAAGTTGTCCTGAATTTGCTCACCTCTCCAGATGCCTCATGTTTGACAGCTTCTGCTCCTGGCCAGCCACAGCTTGTGTTCTCTGGCCACCTGGGACCTGATCTCCTTCCTCTGACACTTCCACAGAGAGCAGCTGCTGGGAGAGACTTTCTGGTGAGTTGAAACCATGGTGATGTATTTTGTCTCCACAAACAAGGAGTTGCAAATGTAGGTGTTTAAAGCTGAGATAATGATCATATAGAGATCCATAGCTAAGAATTTTGTTGTGATTTTCTTCAGAAAGTTGAATCAAAGCTACCCAAAAGTTCAGCTCTGGTGCAGGAGCGCACCCCAGTGTTACCTCTCTAGGCACAAAGATTTTTACAGGCAAAAATACTCTTTGTTCTAATAATAAATGGGGAAGAACAGGGAGGAAAGCAAAGAAAAACTCAAACAATGCCATATTCTCTGCTGACTGCTTGGCTTAGCTCTGCAGCACAATTTCCCATCTCTCTTCCACATCATTCTGAGATTTCTTCCCTAAAAGGGTCTTATCAGTAGATAAGTGGCTGCCTCTGAGCCAACTCTTTTCTTCTGGTTCAGTGGCTGGCACGATGTTTGCATGAACTCTAAACCATCAACTTGTTGCTTGCTGATTTTCTTTGCTGATATGATCCCCACCAGCTCTCACATTTCCTAGGGCAAGCACAATCAAGCACAATCAAACAAAGCTAATCAGAATAAACAGAATTAGTGCTCATTCTTTCTTAACAACATGCCTGTAGGGGTTTTTGTCTCCCTTAGCAAATTCAATCCAGCTCCTTTCTCTCATGTTAATTCACAGTAGCTGCTTCCACAGGCTCTGGGTTGCAGGTAACAATGAGAGGAGAGGATTGTGCTTTGCTTTGAGAAAGAGCTCAGCATTTGTGTGGTTCGAATTTTAAGAAATGGGGTGAGGTGGGGGTTACTTGATCCATTTCCCACTGATTCTCTGTGGTATTCCCTCTGCTGCTGGTGATGTCCCACCTGGGAACATAAAAGATGACACTTTGCACCTTTCATCTGCTCATGTGTCCCTTTAATTCTTCTAATGGTTCCTCTTCCCTTTTTTTTTTTTTTTTTTGTCTCATATACAGGCTCTGATTCTAGCACTCCAAGCACAGCATCCTGGGATGGCTTTCCCAGGGTTCTGGCAGATTTGAAGGCCAGGCATCATGGCCAATATTGCTCCCATACACCCACATCCCACATTTAGGGTGTCCTTGTGGGTGTGACCCTGGAACCAGCTTCTCATGGAGGACACCACAGTGAAACTCCCTTCTGGCACCCAGGCCTTGGACCTGCAAAGTCTTCCCTGTGTGGTTGGTGTCTTTGACCATTCCCTGGGACTGTTTCCTGAAGAGAAAGAGCAGCATTTGGCCCTTGGCTTTTAGGAGAGTTTCCTAACACAAACCTCAAAACAAATGGAAACGCTTTCCTCCCCTTTCAGACCAAGACAAAGACTGAGGGTGAGGTTTTAAGGCTAATTAAGTTTTTGGTGTCTTTTTTTTTTTTAATTTCTCTCAGCTGAGGACATCCCTGGCACTATGATAAAAGCCCCCACTGCCCACTGGGGCTCCTTGTGGTGAATGTGCTCCTGAGAGACACAAAGGTTTCCCCAGAAGCACATTCCCATTCCATGGCTCTAATTAGAGAAGATTTTCTGTGATTGTTGCTAACAATGTTCTTCCTTGCCCTTGGCTCAGCAGGAACCCGATTAGTGACTTCCCAGGGTCCTTGAAACCCAAGGGAATTAATTTGCCTTTAATTTTGTCCAAGCTGATACTTAGGGGAACAGCTGGGAATATTGTAAAGCAGCTTCTGGCAGTGAAGAATCCCAGCAAAGCATTTCCCAGAGCCCTGGTAGTGATGCTCAGTCTGCCCACCTGAAGCCAGCCCATGCAGGGAGCTGCAGCATTAACCAATGAAAGACACAGCCCTGCTCCTCTTCCTTTTCCTTACAACAGCTGGATTTGCCCAGATGTGCTTTGGTGGTACCTGGTGACCACACCGTATTTGTGTCACTTTGCTGCTGTTCACAGCTTTTTTCAGTGTTTATTGACAGCCAGACTCATCCTTCATTTCTTGATGGATGCTCATTCCAGCTTCCCAGGATCTGGGCTGTCCTGACATGCCAACATGTGCAGCCTTGGATGGAGCAGTTCATTGCTGTGTAACTGAGGGAACCACTGTGCAATAGGAACCACAATGACACTGCCTGGCTGGGGATTTTTAAAGCACTTTGAGCTCCTTGGAAGGACCAGGGTAGGTGCACACCTCTTCTGTTACTCTGTGGTTAAAGGCTGGCTGAGATGATGGTTTGGATAGAAAACAGCAGCCAACAGAGTAGCTCACACATCCCTAGAGGTGATCACTTCATGGTCTGGGGCATTTTCAGGGGCTACTTCACTTCCCAGGTATAGGAAAGGCTGAGCCAGTCTGGGGCTGGGACACCTCTGCAGGGCTGTGTTCAGGACACAGGAATTCCATCAGAGCCATGCTTAGCCTTAGCTTTTGCTGTAACAATTACAAGTGATAAAATACCAGTTTTCTCAATTTGCCTTCCCACAAGTTGGTTTAAAGGTAATGAAGGCAGATCCTGCTATAGCTTAGTGCATTACAAGCCAACTCAAATGACTCCCCACTGTCTTTTCATCTCCATGAGACTTTTAATGCCCTAAGTCTTTGCATGTCCTGGCACACAGCCCAATTGAAGCATGAGCTCCAACAGAAGTTTTACATTTAAAGCTGTTCTTTTGGCTTCATAAATTTGCAGATTGAGGGTGAGAGAAGCAATTCAGCTGTTTACTTGCAGATCTCCACCAGCCCTGCTGTGCTCTTGCCCTCGCCTCGGTCAGAGTTGTGTTAACAGCATTTTCCAATTAAAGTAGCAGCCTCAGTTACAGAAAATGCTTTTCCTATCTGGGAATGTATCTGATTTTACTCTTTTTAAATTACTTATGGAGCACAGGGGTGTTTTGTTTCCCACCCCTTATTATAATTAATCCATCATCATTTCTGGTGACAAGGTTGGCTTTTGTTGAATTTTTTATTTCTTGCCATTTCCATCAGCTTGTTCCAATACCACTCAGACTCCACATTACTGATGATGGGGAGAGTGATGTGAGCAATCAGGCAAATATCAAGTGGACGAGCAATTCCTGAATTTCTGCTCACTTAGAGCAGGAAAAATGACACCTATTCTGGAGATAACCCAGCCAGAAAATCTTAGAGCCATACTGTGTAAATTGTAGCCACTTCCCTGTCTGAAATAGTTCTGCTCTGAAAACTTGGCTTTCAAGACCTCCACAGCCAAGACAAAAGCTTCTTCCTGTTACCTGAAAATTCCAAGTCTCCAAGAGAATCAATGGTAGCAGTTGAAACCTCCATCTTTCTTCCCAGTGATGAGGTAAGAGCTTCTTTTTTGCCCTTCACCTCACTGAAAGGGACGTGCAACAAGCCTTGGTGCAACAAGCTCAGCAAAGCTTTGTGGGATGCAGTGAGATCTGACTCTGGGATTTTCACTCCTGCCAGTTTTCCATAGTGGACCCCATTGTGACTGTCTTCTGGCTGAACATGCTTTGAACATGAGCATGGCAGTGCTTGGGCTGGGCCTGCAGGGCCTGGGGCAGGACCAGGTGCAGTGACAAAATCCAAAATCCCAGTGCTGATATCCTGTCCCAGGAGGCCACAAAGCCCCTCTGTCCAACAGCATCCTCCTCCCAGAGTCTGGGCAGCTGCAGCTGGGCCCACTGCAGTGTCAGGACCCTTGCAAGGATGCTCCAGCCACACACTCCCAGACAAGGAAGCAAAGCCTTCTGCTGCCCCCACGTGTTGCTTGTTCATTATTGTTGCCACACACCAGTTAAGACCTGGGAACACTATTGGGAAGTGTGAGAGAGGAGCTAGCACAGCTATGCAGCTCTAGAGGTCAAGGATCTTGCTTTGGAAGGCTCTTCTGTTCCTTCTGTTCCTCCCTCAAGCTCAGGGTGTTCCTTGTACTCAAAAAACTGCAAAATCAGATTGGGCCTGTTTGGAAATGAGATGATCTGGAGGCAGCAAAGCACAGAGGTGTCCTGGTCCCACCCAGGACGTGTGTGAGCCCTGGGAGCTGGCCAGTGATGCCGAGCGATATCGGATACGGCACAGAGCATCCAGGAGCCTTGGCTCAGGCCACGAGGAGCACAGAGCAAGAGACAGCTCTTGGCAGGCTCAGCTCACATGATAAGGTCATTGGAAAGACAAGTGATGCTTTCATCAACCTGCCTCTCCCCAGAATCAGCACCAGCTCAAGCAAGGGCTCACTCTGGGCTCCTGTAATACTCCGTGTAGTGCCAAGGACAAAAGCTTACTCCCAAATAGGTTGAAGCTGCTTTTCCCAACCAGTGTCCCAGCCCCCAGCTCTCATCCTTCCTGGCCCTGACAGGTTCCAGTTTTGAACCACTGAACAGACCCTCTTGGAAAGGTAATTTTCTCTCGGGATCAGTGGCACCTCTCAAGCTGCAGGGAGAGCAGGCTGTAGTTGCTGGCTCTCTGCTGCTTCCCAGCAGTTACAATTAAGGATCTTGTGGTTTTGTCCTTTGTTGGGGTAGCACATGCTAACTATTCTGGAGAGCATCAATCCCAAAAGCTGCCTGAAGCCTGGGCTGACAGGTTGGTAGTAGCAGCCAAGCTCTCTCATGGAACCAGTCTGTGCCTGGGGAGGTCCCAGAGCAGTGTTTCTGACCATCCCTAGCACAGCTCCTTGCAATGGTAGGGCTGGCTCTTTGCCATCCTTTCACCGAGAGCCGTTTTGGAATGGCACCATGAAGAGATGGGCCATGGAGCAATTCCTCAGCTCAGATTGTCCACAGACTGCCCTGGACACTGCCTGGAGCTCTCAGAACATTTGAAGGGAGCAGCACTCGCTGGCAGGGCTTACGTGCTCCTACAATTGGGGATTGCAAACACATGCTTCAGCTATGCAAGAAATCCTTGACTTGTTCTGAATGCAATTCTGCCTGGGTTTCTTCCCAGGAACATTCCTGTTCTTCACAATTTACCAGTTGCAGGAAGGGAGAAGGGGGAGGAGGAGTTTTAGGAGTAAGGGAGAGGAAAGGGAACAAATCTCACGGTGCTTTCCCTCGCCAAATTTCTCCAGAAGGACAGGGTGTGGAGCATGGACTCCAGAGTCTGGGACAATCCCAAGAAAATATGAATTACAAAATTAAAACCACTTTTAATTAGTCATTTGTTTTTATAGAAAGAATAAGTCTGTTCTTCTGAAGTAATTCAGTGCCTGCTATCACACACACCAGGCAGCCCTGCCAAATGGAGCTGTGTGATAGAAGGCAAGCCCAGAATGAGGGCTCTGAGCAGAGACACCTTATCTCCTCCAGGAGACAGCAGTGCCATTCAGATCTGCATTCTGCTTCCCCAGATAAAAGTGCCACTCCTGAGTCACTGCATACGTGAGAGAGTTTCAAATGTAGTCCCCGTAGGTGGGAGTAATTTGATATCTGAGATGAATGATGAGGCTGGGCCTTCATTGTCACACCTGCTCTGTTCCACACAGGAGAGGAAGCGTGAGAGGGTGGAGGCAGGAGCTGTTTCTGCCCTGGGAGAAGCCAGAGGTGGAGGATACCCATCTCCTCACACCCTGGCTCCAGGTGACAAATCCCTCTTCTCATGGAGGGACACAGTGGCTGTCACCTGCTGCTGGGGCTGGGGTGGCAGTGGGTGGGGAAGGCTCTACCCAGGCTGGCCCTGAGCAGAGAAGGTGTCACACAGGCTCTGTGCTCCTTTCCAGGTGTCACCACCTGAACCATCAGCTCCTTCCTGCAGCCTGAGACCCTTCCAGGGCAGTCAGTTACAGGACTTGTGCTCTGTGGCACTCTGGGACCTGCCAAGCTACACAAGCTCCAAGGGGAGAAAGCCTTAAAAGAGGCAAGGTGTAACCTGATGCTACCAAACTTGCACTCTGAGTAACCTCCACAGCTCAATTAACTCTATTAAGTATTTACCTATAGTTAATTTAATTTAGTTGAGTTTTTCTCCCCTGTGTTGGGTGCCTACTGTATCAACCTCTTAAAATCACGGCTGTGTGTATAATTCAATCAAATGTACCTGCAGTACCCACATAAACTGAGTCATTTCAGGTACCAGGGAGAGGTTTATTCTGTTGTATTTGGCTCGTGCTTCTGACTTAACACAGACCTGACTCCACTAAAATTGGTTGTGCTGCATTAGTCCAAAGCCAGAGCAGAGCCCAGCTTTTATTCATTATTTGCAAGAGAGACATCATAATTTCAATAATGCCATGTCCAGAGTATGAGTGGGGTTTGCTCCAGCTGCCTTCCCAGTCTCACACTAGGGAACAATGAAATGAAGGTAAAAAGGAATATTCATCTTTTTCTTTTTGTGTGTATAATTCAGAAATACCAGCAGATTCCTGTTGCCTCACAGTGCTGTATAGGAGCCTTTCCTAAGTACCTGCTAAACTAAACAGGAGTGATTGGTTGATGTTAAGGAGGTGCTCAAGAAGTTTTTCCTGAAGTTCCTCTTTTCCCAAGGGTGGAGAGCAGCCTGTCACTGAGTGAGAGGTTTTATTGCACAGCTTAGAATGCAGCTGAAAGAGAAGCAGAGAACAACACAGGGGATGTGTGTCTGACATTTCTCACACTTCTCAAGTGAGCCTGAAGAAAGAGGGACAAATCCCAAGTGATGAGGAAAACTGCAATTCTGGGTGTGAGCAAGAGCTCCCAGGAATCGCAGGGACACAGGAGAGGAGCCCTGTTCTAGATTATTTGGAGATTCCCAGCCAAGACCTTCATGAAAGTTTGATTCTTTATCACAGGGATTACGCTGGGAAGCAGCTGGCATGGATGTGAATTCCAGCTGGTGCCCAGCACCATGGACACACTGCTCTTTGGATTGAGTGCAAATGAGCAGACTCAGCTCTGACACCCTCTGTGTTGATCTAAGTCAGGGCAGGAGGATTCTTCCTGAAGTTCAGGGCACAAATGACCCTTGTGTTGATTGAGTGCAGATAATAACTGAACCACTGAGCTCTCAGACAGACTCTGCTTGTTTGGGGCTGTGCAGCTCTCACAATCTGTCTGCTAACTACAAAAATATTCCAATTATTTGGAATGATGACATCACCCATGCAATTGACCCAGATCTAACATCAGCACTCCCACAAAACAGTTATTTCTTGTTCAACACTATTGAGGACAGTAATCCAGCCCAGACTGAGCTCTGGCAGCAAAGTCTGGTCAATTCCCCCACATTTCCAGCATTTCCTCAGCAGTTTATTTTCCAGGTTCGACAGGTTACCCTGAGTTACCTGGATCTGTTTGACAAAACGTGATTATTAATTGTAACTTTTGAACCTCGGTAGTCACAGAGGGGCTCCAAGTGGCTCAAGAAGGGTATTTTGGCACCTTTCATCTACTCCCCATGCCTGTGAAGCCCTCACCAGCAGACTGAATCCATCCTCTGTTGGGCCAGAAAGCTGCCCAAGCCCAAAGCCATCTGTTCCTGGGATGATCTGGCCCAGGGATGGAGGGAAGGAAATCCTGTGACCTGCTGGGAGATGGGGAGCTGGCTCAGCCACAGTCCTGCCTGGCCACTCTCCCAGCACCCTTCCATCCCTGCCAAAATCCCTCAGCCCCACAAAGGTGTGTGGGCAGGTAAGAGCCGTGAAGAACAGCTGTTGCTTAAAGAATTTCTTGATGCGTGAGGAGCCTTCTTTCCTCTCAGTGTGTCACATTTAGCAGCTGATGTGTCTAATCCAGGGGTGGCCAGAGCTGGAGAGGAAATGCCCTCCCCTCTTGCCTGCAGCACTGGGGTGCACAGGGGAAGGCAGAGGGATGGCCAATGGCTGCACTCAGCTTTAATTTCACTTAAAAGCAGCTTTGTCCATCACTTTTAGGGCACAGAGCAGCCAGACCCCGGGCTGAGCCTGCCCCAGGCTGTCCCTGCAGGAGATTTTCACCCTGTGGGCGCCTCAGGGAGTGCCTGCTGAATTCTGACAGCTGGCAAGGAGGACATAATTTCTCCTGTCCCTGCACCCCAGAAAAGCTTTGAATGTGGAATTTGCTAGCAGTGTGTCCTGAGCTTGTTTTTTAAACATCAGCCATGAGTCAGGGTTGGCCAAGGCAAACACTGCAGTGCGGAGCACAGCTGGTCAGCTCTGCAGACACAGTATGGTAGAGAAATACGGACACATTGTAAAATTGACATTATAATATTGACACATTGTAATACAGACATATCTGTTATTACATATTGACAGTATAATAACTGAGATGTTACTGTAACACAGGGCTCTGTGTCCTGTGTTACAGGACCCCTTGTACGGCTGTGTGGTGTGTCCTGGGGCAGTGACACCTCGCCCATGGCTGTACAGGTGTGTGGTGTGACCTGTTGTTCAGGTGTGTGACATCAGCCATCATTCAGGTGTGTGAGCTGACCCAGTGTACCGGTGTGGGACGTGGCCCGGGGCAGTGGCACCTCACCCGGGGCTTTGCAGGTGTGATCTGTCCCTCTGTTCAGGTGTGTGACCTGTCCCTCTGTTCGGGTGTGTGACCCGGTCCCCCCGAGCGCTCCGGGCTCGGTCCCGGCCCGGGTGGCGCGGCCCCTTTAAGTGAGGCCCCGCCCCCTGCCGCTCGGCCCCGCCCGCTCATCCCGTCCCTCCCCACCGCCCTTCCCGGGCTCCCATTGGCTGGGCCGCGCTGAAGTCCCGCCTCCCGGCGCCGCCAGCCAATGGGAGGAGCACTGGGCGAGACCGTGGCCAGGTTGGTGCGGGGCCGATGGCGGCGGGTCCGTGAGGGGAGCGCTGGGAGGGGGGTGGGAAACGGGACGGACGGCCTGAGGGGAGCGGGGACCCTGGGGGAAATGGGACACCCTGAGGGGAGCGGGACACTCTGAGGGGAGCGGGATCCGATTAAACGCTGAGGAGAGCGGAGCCCCTGGGGCAACGGGACAGCCTGAGGGGAGCGGGACACTCTGAGGGGATCCGAACTCTCCTCAAGTCCTGAGGGCGTTGGGGTCACCTGAAGCGCTGAGGGGAGCGGGACCCCCGAGGTGCCGAGGGCAGCGGGGCGCCCTGAGGGCTGAAGGCTCTCCCGAAAGGACCCCCGGGTTCCCCTGAGGGCGTGGGGATCCCCCTGAGGGCGTGGGGATCCCCCTGAGGTGCTGACGGGGCCAGAGGCGCTCGGGCGGAGCTCGGCAGCCCTGCGGAGCTGTGCGGGCGGGGCCGGGGTCCCTCAGCCTGGTCCTGTGTGTGGAACTCCCTCGGCACAGCTCTGGGTGCCGTGCCCGGGGCCGAGGAAATGCCATTAAATCTTACTGGTTTCACCTGAAAAATCCCTTAGGGGTAGATGGAGAACGTTAAGGTCACGGATCCATAACAGTGTGGGGTTTTCTTACCTATACCTCATCCTGGCAACAAATTGTTTGTGGAGCTGAGGATCGGAGGAAAAAAAAAAAAAAAACCAACCCGAACTTGCAGCTGTAGGCTGAGCAATAATTAAAGTGTTCAGGCAGGTTGTAATCTTTATGCAACAAAATGAAGCCTTGTTATTCGGGTTGAAGTTAAGTGTAGCATGAGCTGTCCTTATTAAAAAAAAAAAAAAAAAAAAGTGCTCTTCCAAGAACTTAGAATGTGGATTCCTAAAGTGTAGAGAGGTAAGGACTTAGGAAAAGGGTAACTTTTCTCAGTTTTTAATGTCTGTTAGTAGACCTGATGTATGTTTTGACCGTAATTAAAGACAGTTTGCTCAAGGGATTTTGTTGCTTTTTGAATGAAATTATAGAATGTAGCATTTAAAACGTTGAGCAACATAGTTATAAGGTGTTTTTTTCACGGGTAGGCAAAAAAAAAATTTAGAAAAAAATTACTGATTGCTGCAGTTTGAGTACATAACTTTTCTAATATTGCTGGTAGAATAACACTTCTGGATTTGCCCCTTTGTGTGGTGAGCGTTCACACCTGCCAGCTTTCTGTGCATTCTGTGAATCTTTAGAGCTAAACACTGCTCTTGAGAAAGCTGAAAGTGTCTGGGTTTTGTTCCAGGTGCTGCTGCTGTGAAAGATGAGGCTGAATGAGAGCCGGACAAGACCTTTCCAGGCTCCTGCCTCTGTCCACACCTTCCCGGGCAGGCAGGTGTTCGTGTTCCCCAATGGCCGCTCCGACTCAGAGGAGTCCTCGGAGGAGGAGCTGAACGTGATGGAGCTGCGGCCCAGGGGCAAGGAGCAGGCGCGGGGCAGCGGCCGGGCCCGGCTGGGGGACGTGGTGCTGCTGGAGAGGGAGCTCACGCAGGAGGACAGCCTCAACAAGCTGGCCCTGCAGTACGGCTGCAAGGTGAGGCTGCTCTGCCTGGGGTGAGCCACGCCAGAAGCTGGCCTGTGATCTGCTGCTTCTGTGCATTGTGTGAATGGTCATTGTCCAGGTAAAACTGGAGAAAGGTAAAAATAACCCCAGACAAACACAAAAAGGAGTTGTTCAGCCAACAGCCTGGGAAGATGTTGTCAGCCTCACACCCTGCCTGACCTGCTTCCCTGTTTAATTTTGGTGACTAAGTGCAGGTTGTACTAAGTTATTTCAGTGAGGGCAAACATTAGGGAGCTGAGTGTAGAAATTAGGGCCAGGGCTCTGCTCTCAAGGAACATTGGAGTTTTTGAAGCAAATTGAGCAGTACAAAGAAACACCACAGTTATGCGTGAGGTTTTTTGTTTATTTTTTGAAAGGTATCAGTTTACATTTTACAAGGAAGGTCTGAGTAACGGGTGCATGTGGAGAGGTGCCAAAGTTCAGTCCCAAAGTCCAGGTGTCTGTGTGTGGGTTTTGGTTGTTTGCTGTCATCCCAGAGCATGCACAGTTCAGGTGCCTGTGGGCAAGAGGGAGGGCATGTACACAGTGAGATTTCTGAGCTGGAACAACTACACAGCACATTTTCTTTGTTCCAAAGAAGAGCAAAACTGCTGGAGAGTTTAATTACCTGCTCTGAACATTAGAAGCCACCCGTTGTTCGGCAGTTGGAGCTGTATTTTTAGAGCCCCCTTTATCTGCAAGCTGGACTGTGATTTCAGAGCTCCATGATGAAACCATTGGCTGGTGACCACAGCAGGGATAATGATACAGCTCTGGCTCCAGTGCTGCCCTGCCAGTGCAGTCTGTCTTGCTTAACCACACAGCAGCTGTGTGGTGCAGCTGAGGCAAGAGGCCTTAGAGGGATTGCAGCAATTCCTCCCCTCCCATGCCCTTAGAAACAAAAACAAAACAGAAAAAGACACCCTTGTAGGTTCTGCTGACGACCCCAATGCGTGTGGAGAAGCGAGTCTGGTAGGACTTGAATAGGCCTTGATTGGCCCCAGGAGAGCTGAGCTTTGGTTGGGTTTGGAGCTGTGTGCTGCTCTCAGCAGCACCTGGGCAGACTCACAGCAGTTGGGTGAACTCAGAGGAGGGAGATTCTGAACAGTTCTTTGGTTTATGGTGTGAAGAGTCCTGCTGTGCCTCTGCACTGTCACTCAGAGGGCCCAGTTCTGTCCCTGCTGAGGCTGCTCCTCTGCTGCCTCACTCCTGGAGCCTTTCAGCCCCTCTGGAGGCTGCTGGGCCTGCCCAGGGGAAAAGCAAGCTGATGGAAGGGACCACATCCTCCCACAGGACAAAAACTGTCCTGCTGCCTCCCTCCCTTCCAGAATCTTCTGACGTGTTCCAGTTAAACTGAACAGGTACAGAAATCCTTATTGTAGGAGATTTGTATGTTTGTCTCTTTAAAGACTGGCATGGCAGTTTTCATGTGTTTTATTTAATTTGCACAATTAAACAGCTCCTGAAAGGTCACCAGGATACCAGTGAGAACAGTAACCACAGATATGTAGGCAAATACGTGTAAAAATCCAGGATGAACTTCTCCTTGAAATCAATGAGAACTTGACATTGGTTTCAGAATCTGCTTGGGGAGGGGATAGTAAGACAGTACAACAAATAACTCTGTGTATGTGCCACAGATAAGTTGGCAGAGATGCAAAGCACTTCAAAATTCTCATTTTTACTCTTGACCATTTATAGTCGTGGCTTGCTTTTGGCATTGTTCTTCAGCTGGGACAAGAGGAGCTCACTGCAGCCAAAAAATTGAGTACAGAAAATAAGCCTAAATGCTTGTGCAGCCCAATCTCTCGCATGCTTCCCATCGGCTTTGTTTGTTGTTTCTGTGTGAGTGCTGCTCCACTTTCTGTTTCTAGAGTCTTAGCACCACACTGCAGTATTTGATTGCAGACACCACGGGGGATATTTACTGTCCCAGTAATTTGTTTTCATTGGAACAAATCCAGAAACTGAAGCAGCACCTCAGTTAGGAGGTTCTGGGTGAGATTTTATTTCATAACTAAGAAATTTTGCAGGGTTTAGTCCAGAGTTGACACTGGGGCTGGCTGTGAGGAGCTCGAAGCAGCAACTGAGGATTCCTTTTGCCTCAGGGTCCCCAGATCAGGTTCTGGATTAAATGTGCCATTTTCAGAGTTCTCAGGCTTTGCAGAGTAAACATGAGATTCAGGCCTCCATCTCCTCTCCTCTCTACCTCTGAGCTTAGGAAGTAAAGTGGTTTTTTTTCTCTTTTAGTTCCCCAGTTTCCTTGGCAGCCTCAAGCGTGTGAGTGTGCAGTGAATGCAGGTCATGCTGTGATTTCTGAAGAGGACAGCACAGTCCCTGTACTGTGTCTCTGTGCTGTGATGGATGAGAGGTGCTTTACCTGTTTGTGTTGTTTTTCTCTTTGCTTTGGCTCTCGCTGTTTTATTTTGTGCCCTCCAGCCTTTTCCTCAAGGTTCTTTCACATCTCCTTGGCTGCAGCAGAGAGCTCCTGGCACACACTGACATCCTGTTCCTTTCCTTTGGCAGAGGGTTTAGTGCAACTGAGAAGTTGCTGTCCTTGCTGGGTGGCTGTGAGTGGCCACTGGATTAAGCATCTTCTCTTAGTTAATGTTAAATAAGAGTTGCTGCCTTGCCTTTGTCTTTTGCACTGGCACTGCCCGCCCGGGTCTGATGCTGCACGTGTGGCTGCTTCTCCCTGCTCTTCTGCTGCTGGCTGGGGACACAGCTCACACACAGGAGCCCTGCACAGGAACCATGAAAGGTGGTGACAGGAGCACAGAGCTGATTGTCCTTCAGCAGGACATGCTGAGGAGGAATGGGCTGGATGAGCTGCTGCCCTGCAGAAGAGAGGTGTTCCTTGAGCAGAGGATGCTCGTGCAGGAGATGCTCACCTGCTCTCCAGGCTGTGCCCTTGCTCTCAGAACTGCTGTGCTCCCACAATGGAGCTCTGGTCACTCTGAAATAACTTCCTGAGCAGGAGATGCTCACACTGGTGTTGTGCTCTCACCTTTAAGCACTCATGTGTAAGGTACAAAAATAGTTTTTAAAAGGATCTGTTAGTTAAAAAGATTCTTCTTGCCTTAACTGAGAGAAGGGCAAAGAAAGCAAAGAGAAGGAAAAGCAGTATGGAGCAAAATACAGCAGGTACAAGAGGTGGAGGTTGTAGGCTGCTTTAACAGGGGATTGCCTCTGTCCTGCAGGAACTGGAGCACCCTTGGAACTGCTGGGGAATCTCTCAGAACATCAGATCTCTTGCATCCAGGGCCTGCTTTTATTCCCTGACAGCTCCTTGCACATTGGTTTTGTAGCTGCTTCCTGCCTCACTCCTGGGCTGTCCCGCCCTCACTGTTTGTGTCCTTTCTGGATTCCTTAGGTTGCGGATATCAAACGCGTCAACAACTTCATCCGGGAGCAGGACCTGTACGCGCTGAAGTCCATCAAGATCCCGGTGCGGCCGCACGGGCTGCTCACGGAGAGCGCCGGGGCGCTGCGGCCGCCCCCGGCGGGGCCCGCCCAGCCCGGCCTGACGCGCCTGGAGCCGCCGGAGCCCGACCCCGGCGCGGGCGGCTCCGCCGACGGCCAGCGTCTCAGCGAGTACTTCAGGGGCATCGACCAGAGCATCCAGGACGCCGTGCAGGTGGAGGTGCAGCTGAACGCGCAGTACGGCGGGGAGGGGCTGAAGAGGCCCCTGCCCGAGGCAGGGAAGCGGGACGCTGGGAACGGTGCGGACTGCGGAATCCAGTGGTGGAACGCCGTGTTCATTATGCTCCTGATAGGAATCGTCCTGCCGGTGTTCTATATCATCTATTTTAAAACACAAGCCCTGGTGGCCCACACCTCTAACATGACAAACTCAAATGCTTCAACAGCTGGATAGGAAGGGAAATTACCACCAGGCTCAGTCGTAGGAAAACAAACCCTAAGGTGAAAGGGCAGCCCACTTGAACCTCTCCAGCAGTATTGATTGCCCTTACGCTCGTGATGACTCAAGTGCACCCAAGGGGATACAACTATACAGAGGAATTTTATTTTTATAAGTAGCTGATGATGTAATCCTGAATTTGACTGAAAATGAGGTGATGTGATTTTGATGGAAAGACAAGGATGCTTTGTTGCTTACGGAGATCATCACCCAGGTGGCCTCAGAGTTGGGAACTCTGTTGAGGGAAAGTATTTTGTAGCAATTTACTCATGGTTGCTTCAGGTATTTCTTAATGCCGTGTCTAGAAGCAAATTCTTTGCTGCTGAGCTAGAGAGTGCAGTATTAATGTGGTTGGAAAGTTAGGGGTTGTTTGCATTTTAAGGAAACTCTTTTTACTGGAATAGAAGCGGGGGACACTTCTTTTCAGGGGTGTAATTTTTGTCTCTTGCAGGCCATGGTGGTTTTGGCCTCCCTGACCCAAATGATGCCTTCTGGGGCTCTAAGCTGGGTGTGCCAGGGCACAATGACACTGCCAGCACCCCACCTTGTCACCCCCCTGAGCAAACCTCTGAGCTGTGTTCAGTTCGGATGCATCAGGCGCACCCTGGGAAGGGTAAGCACAGACCTCTTCCCCTCAGTGAACTCCTTCAGAGATGGCTCCTGAGATCAGAGATCTCCGTGCAGGTCTGTGCTGTCCCAGGGAGCTGCTCAGCCCTGCAGGGCCCCAGGTGGGCAGGGGGTGTTGGATGAGGACAGGAGAGCACGAAAGAGGAGTCACAGGCACTTCTCAAGGACTCATTTGCTGGCAGGAGGTCTAGTCAGTATTATTTGCTAAAAAATACTAATAATAGTCTATAGTGGTGCTTCTCAGACACCCAGGCTCAGTCATGGAATTACTTCCTCGTGTGCAGCCTGAGTGGGAGTGCTGAGCTGGGTGCAGGTTGCAAGGTCCAGGACAGAAGTCCAAGAAGAAAGAAGGGTGAAGCCTTTCCAGGAGAGGACTCTGAAGCTGCTGATTGTGGCAGGTTTCTGTGAACTGGCCACATGCACTGAAAAGCTTTGCAGGGCAGTGGAGGTGTCAGTCGGCCCCAGGGCTGCGCTCCTCAGGGCCGCTCAGCAAACACTACCTGCTGCAAGGGAGCAGCAAGGGAGGCCTTGGGAGCTTTGCTAAGAGAAGAACTTGCCTCAGAAATTTGATTCAGCAAACTCTGGGCCTGTGGGCAGAGGTGAAGGCTTTCCTGGAACCAACCACTAAATGTGTGGGCAGGTGCTGCTGGTGCTGCACTGAGGGCAGCGCTGGTGGGCAGGTGCAGGAAGCTGCTGTTCGTTGTCCCCACCTGGGCCCAGCCCCATTTGCAGCTTCCCAGCTGCCAGCAGCACCTCAGGGCTTTTCCAGCTTCCCCCGGGCAGCCCGAGGACTCTGCGGCAGAGCAGGGGCTGGAGAGGGGCTGTGGTACAGCACCGGCTGCTGTGCCGGTGTGGCTCAGCCTGGCAGTGTCTGCCTGCACAGGGAGGACTGAAGTGTCTCCAGCAAGGTGAGGACCCCACCCCACACAGGCACAACCATGTGCTGCTACAATGAGAACCTGTGTTCCCTGCAGCTCTCAAAAGTGGGAATCTAATTTTATAAATGAATACTCTAAAGTATCTTATACTGAACAAAAATTTGTATTTTTCTTCTGTGAAGAGCTGTATCTCTTTGTTCTGGGGAGGGGGTGGTTCTTACATTTTTAAATAAAGCCACAAGAAATAAAAGCACAAGGGGCACAGCTTGTGCTTTATTTGCTATCACACAGCTGAGCACCTGCCCGAGGAAGAGGGGCCCCTTGCAGCCTCACCTCAGCCCCTGCAGGGAGCGGGAGTGGGAGCAGCAGGAGAGGCAGGACTGGCCTTGGGCTCTTCACTCCAAATGGACCCTGGGCCATCTGCCCATTTCTCCATGTTTCATAGAAAGGTTCCTAGTGGGCATCAGTCCATGGGTGCAGTGACAAGTGTGTGTGTTTGAATGAAAATCCTCATGGCTGCAGTTAAAAACCAACAGCTCGCACCTGGACTGACACCTGGAGGGGGCAAGGACGCGCCGGACGGGACCAGTGCTCTGCAAACACGAGAGAGGCCGGAGTACACAGTAAAAGCCAGTATCTTTACTTTAGTGAATGCAGGATACAAATATTTTACAACAACCTCTAGCATTTTCTTAACCATTTGATAAAAAGTTCACTAGAATATTTATTGTATATTGAAGAAAAAACAACACATTCAGGGAAAAAAATTGAGATTAACTTATTTTTTTTCTTAAAAGATTCGTCTCAAGGATGGCAACAAAGTCCAGCTTGTGCCGCCAAACGGCTTATCAGCATTAAACCGTGAACAGCTTCTTGTGAACTGTTGACTACAAACATTTACCAAATACATAAATCTCTTTTAAAAAAGCCATTTTAAATATAGCAAAGCAGTGTTCTCTTGCACAGCAAAGTGAAGAAAGGTTCTACTAAGATTTAAATGTTTACATTGGTTAAGTCTTTCTTTCACATTCGGATTTAACTTCTGCCCAGGATCAATTGTTAGGAGTTGTTTTGTTCCTTATTTACTATGTATTTCTTGTGCGCACAGTAACTCGCAAGTTTCTGATGCATTAGTGTCCTTGGAGGGAAGGCAAGGCTAAAGCAGTTCTCTCTGACGAGTCCCTGACAACGTGGCGTTCTCAAAACTATCGTGAGCGCTCGAGGATGGAGGTGATTTGTCACAACAGAGATAAAAATCTTAAATCATTCAGACCTGACTGGGTTCAGCCCAGGATTGGATCCACTTGCACTTCAGTCAGCAGAGATAATTTTAAAAAGTTTTTTTTTTAACCTGTTGAAATATCTGTGCTATGTCATCTCTTTTTTTATATATAAAACATTTTTACAATTTCTAAAAAAGTATGTTTCAAAGTGAGTTACTTGTTATTAAAAACCAGGATTCCCAAGTCCTCGGTGGCAGGAGGTGCTCCCCGAGACCAGAGGGCCGTGGAAGGACGTTTCTGCCGGGGCTGAGGCAGCACAGGGCCACTCCTTTGCCCAGCTCTTTAGAACTGATTATTTTTATTTTTATTTTTAATTCATTGGTGCAATTTCAATACAAACTCTAACCCTTGTGTAGCTTTGTCTTTAAGAAAACAGTAGTTAAGTACTGTTTAAAAACCTGCATAGAAATAAAGACTATTGAGATACAGTCAGCAAAGCCATCTGATAAGGCACACAAGAAAATAGACAGTAAATGTGAATGCAGAACTCCCACTCGGATGTACAGCAAAGTTCATACAGGTGCATAAATCATGGAACTCACATCACTGGTCAGAGCAGCAAAAGGTTCCAGGGAGCAGCAAGTGAATTCGGTCCCTGGGGACACCGTGGTCATGGGAACGTGTCCCTTCTGCCTCCAGCCTCTGCCAGCCGGGATGAACCCAGGAAGGGGAGGCAGTTCCAGGGGAAGGGCCGGAGGGCACCGGAGCCCCCGCGGCTTTGAACGCTCCAGGACACCGAGACAGGGCTGGAGCCACAGGTACCACAGGGACACCGCCCTTCTCACCCCGCCCTCAGAGCATCAAGGGATTTTTAACTGCAAAAAAAAAATGTAAAGCCCAAGCAAAAAACGCAATAAATATCAGGGCTAACTCTGAAGGGTTTGGGCAATCCCACAGCTCTGCAGCTTCCACCCAGAACCAGCACTGCCAGCCTGGAGGTGACTGGGAGCACGGTGGGATCACGGCCCCGCATCCACCACCAAAGCTGCTCCCAGCCCAGTCTTGCGGCACAAGGGGGCTCTGCATTCCTCCCTCTCTTTCCTGGAAGCAGCACATTTTTCCCAAACCACTTGCCAACTCACAAAACCTTTTGTGCTCCTCTGATATGTGTCATTTCCCTATCATGAGAAATTAGGTCAAGTTTTTCCACTGGTTTTTTTTCCTCCTTGGAAGAGGCAGCTTTAAAATGATGCCTTAAAATGTGTTGTAACAGATTTTTTATATTTATGCAGGATGAACTTAACACCGGATTTTTTTTTTGCCACTTTGCTATTTATATACATATATATAAAATGTATAATGAAGCTTAACCATACAGCACAGAGATTACAATTGAACGGCACACATTCACCACCAGTGAGGGGGCCAACCCCTTTATACACCCTCTGAAAAATCTGGATAATAATATTAATAATAATTAAAATCCAAAGAAAGTACAGTATATTTAACAAAATAGTAAATATTAAACAGTGAATACTCTACTTAATAAGGACCTCGCCTTGTTTCAAGTTGGCGTCAATCCACAAAAATATACTTTTTAATCTGGTGACCGTACAATACATAGGTACTTACACCAAAGGTGATAATATATTTAGGATGCTATATACACAAAGAGTTTGGCTCAAATTTAAATTTACATATAAGTGTTCATGGCTTATTTTTCCCCCAAGGTTCCGCCTGCAAGTTTTTCCTTTTCATCTTTGAAAGCAAAAACTAGAAAGTCAAAATAAGATAAAACTATACTCTACAAAAAAGCTACAACATACAGCTTTGGCTTATATAAATAATTCATAGCAGAATGTGTTCAAAAGTACTGTATATAACTTTATATATAGTCTTCAATTCATTAGGGTATTGTTTTCTTTAATATAAAATATACATGAGCTAAAATCCGTTTCTATATTTTTCAAAGGTATGAACGTAAAAACAAATTTGTCAAACATATTCCAATTATAACTTAATATATTAATTTTATTTTGTTAATGTTCTATTTTCTAGGCTAATATTTTCTGAATATTTCATGCGAGTTCTCTATGCTCTCTTTCACTCATTAAAAAAATCACTTCTTTGACCCAATACACTTTTTTTTTTTTTTGCACGTGCAAAACAGGGTTTTTGTTTTTTATTTTTTTTATTTCTTATAGCATCAGCCCTTCTCCATGCACCCTCTGCAATAGAGACCCATGCCAGGTTGGGTAATAGAAAGGTCAGTTTATGTACAGTATTGCTTTCTTCTTCCTGCTTTTCTACTGCTCTGCTGCTACAAAGCAATTATTTCTTAACTACGAGTAACCATAGAGCTGACTACACACGGGGACGGTACTACAGGCGAGCCCTCGCTCGGGTGGGTGTGGAGGAGGAGGAGACACTGCGGGGACGCCGCTGCGCGGGCCGGGCTGGGGTCACACACGAGTCCAGGTAAGTGCCAGACTAGAGATCAAACCTACGGGATTGTTCTGTTACTTTTACCAAGGGACATCTGCAGCTATACAAGAGTTTGTCGTAAGTGCCTGATGATTGGTGTATGCTACACACACTAGCACATATATATGCATGTGAAGATATATATATGCACGTATGTATATACATATAAATATACTTATTCACGTCCTTATTTATAAATTTAGATATGTCAGGACAGTTCATTTTGAGAACACAAAGCTGAGAGGGTGACACGGCGGGTTTATGTCACCCACGTGTCCATCCTCATGCGTTTTACCGAGGGGCTCTCCCGATCCTCCGCGTTGGGCGGCCGCCCCAGCACCACGGGCGAGTGGAAGTCGCTGCGCGGGTCCTCGCGGTCGCTGCCGTCGTAGGAGCTGCTGGAGCTGCTCAGGCTGTCGACCGGGGAGCGGCCCAGCTCCTGGCGCGACGGCGGCGGCGGCGGCTGCGGCTGCTGCGGCTGCTGCGGCGGGAACCCCGAGGGGGTGACGCGGTCCCGGGGAGGGGAGATGGGTTCGGATTTGATGTTGATGTTTTGGTTGGTGTTAATGGAGAGGTTTGAACCCTGAGATAGCTGGCTGCCAGTGCTGGGGAAAGAAAACCGAAAGGCATCAGTAAGAAAACGCAGAAAGTGAAAACCAAGCGACAATTCACGTGTCTGGCATGGTGAGGCCTTGGGGCTCAGCACAGAAATAAATGCAGTTCACTGGGAAGAGCAAAGGTGAAAAAAGCATTAATTAAAGGTCTGAGCTGCATTTACAGAAGTTCGGAACAAACAAATATTTTCCACTGCCAAACATTTCAGTCACCGCACAGGTGCCCCCTTGGTGAGAAGCTGAGCCTGCAGGGACACAGCTGGAGGTGACTGAAGGGACAAACAGCCCGACACACAAATGTTTTCCAGCACAGACAAGAGGTTAAAATGTGCTGAGCGTTCCCTCGGTGCAGCTGCTCCAGCCCCCCAGCGCTGCCCTGGGTACTTACACAAGAGAGCTGAGGGCCGCGGGACCGAGGTGGTGCTGCTGCCAGGCAGACACCTGCCCCAGGGACAGCATTCCTGGGGAGTTAAACCCCTGCAGGGCAGACAGGTCTGCGCTAGTCAAGGAGTAATCTAAGAGGGAAAAACAAATAACAAAGTAATGTATAGGGGGATTGGTATATATAACATACATACATAAACAAACACAAAGGCTTTGTGCCCAAAACAAATAAAGGCAGCTGGTCCAAAGGAATCCAAACGTGAAAACTCTGAAGTGTGGGACCAATCCTGCCAAGCTCACAGGGAGCTCAACAATACAGAGACCTCCAAATGAATAATTTTTTTTTTTTTTTTTTGCAATCTGCTTTCAGATTCTCAATGTGCTGTCTGGGAGCCTGTTCCAAACTCACAGGTACAACACATAAATGCAGTGTATATACAGAGGTGTGCACCTTACAGTCAGACTTGGCATTTTTGAAGACATTTCAAAACTAAACGAAAAGGGAAGAATCCATGTGAGTCACTAGGCAGGGATGGTGGATCTTGCCTTGAATTTGCTGCAGACACTGGGCTGTGGTTCAGTCCCAGGCGGGAGGTGGCAGCTCCTCAGACAAGACACAGGGACCATCTGGGGACTCATGTTCCACAGAGCTCCTGGTCCCACAACCTCCACCCAAACCCGAGCCCTGAACAGCACCGGCTGCCCAGGCAGGCACAGGGACAGTGCAATCCTGCTGTAGCACAGCACATCCTCACAACAGCACTCCTCAGGTCTGATCAAACTGTCATCTCTGGATCACAGGAACAGAAGAAACCTCTTTGTGTGAAGCAAGAAAACACCATTCTTTAGAAATTCAACTTAAATGGAGCTCAGAGGGCTCAAATCTATTCCAACCCCATCCAGCCGGTGGCTCTGGCTGCTGCAGGGCTCCCTCACTCCTCACTTCACTCACAGAAATGAAGTTGTTTACACTTGATCATTATCACTCATGTTTTCTTTCAGGTTTGGAAACAAAGTTAAACTATTCTCTGCTTTTAATTATTTTCTAATGAATCTTCCTTAAAATAATTTTTAGTCTCTTGAGAATGGGACAAAATGTGAGCAGCCAAACTCAGGCAGTACTGCCACCAAAGGAATCAAACATTCCGTTAAGCTGGGTTAGGCTTTGATTTGTGTTTGGGGTTTTTTTACGGTATTGTCCTAAAATGCCACCACCGTTACAATCTCTCTCTCTCCCCTGAGATGAGCCTTCTTGAAAAATCTCCCCCTCCCATGCACTGACCTGTCTGCAGTGGATAAATTCTAGATCTCCCTAAAACAGCTCATCTTGGGAAGAGAATCCAGGGCCAGCAGGGCCTGTGCTGTCAGTGAGCCACAGACATCCCTGCAAGAACCTTCCTGAAGGCCTCAGGAGTCCCAGCTGCTCCCAGCAGGTGAAGCTCCTTAGGCTGCCTTTTTATTTCTTCTCAGTTGTCACTTCTGCTGAAACTCTGAAAACCCTCACACGTATTTCTGCACAGCTTCAGAAAGGTTTGTCCCAAGATGACTGACCCAAAAAGCCCCTTTTGTAAGACTAAAATTGAATTTAAAAAATAAAGAAGAAATAACAACTGTGCAGCCCCTGCAGTGACCCAGACATGCACTGAGCATTCAAGGCAGCCAGAAGCCAAAGCTCCCAACACCTGCCCAGTGCAGCCCAGGCACGCCCTGGGGATGGATGTGCTGGGCTGATGGGGTTTGTCAGAGCAGACCTGAAGGAAACACTGACAGGAATTCAGCTCCCATGTAATTTTTTTCCACTGCAATTACAGCTTTTATGACCATGGACAATTAACTTCTGACACTTCAGACAGAATGTGTCTGGTGACAGGGCTTTGAGGAGCTATTTTTCCAAAGAGCACATATGTCACTGGACAATTAGCTGCATTATTAATTCCCTAAATAATCACGTATCTGCTGGCAGTGGCAGGAGGATACTCCTGCTGCAGGAGTGACCTGATGTGAGATGTACACACAAGAGCACCTTCTGCACCACAGAAACCACCACTGCTGTGACCCCCACAAGCAGCACTGGCAAGTTTGTACCTCTGCAAAACAACTGACCTGAAGCCAGGAATTTATTTATGGCTTGGTGTGCTCTGCTCAGGTGTCAATTACTAATTAACTGATTGCAGGGGGTTTTAATTTATTTT